ATGCATATATATATAACATTAATCAAATATATATTTGTTATATATATATATATATATATATATATATATATATATATATATATATTTAATATATACATATTAATATAAATAAATAATATATAAATAGACATTATTTATATATATATAAATACATATATATGAAACATATATATATAGGCATTATATATATATTTATATATAAATATAATAATATACATATATTTTTATAGAATATATTTACAAATATAATATATATATATAAATATATATATATATAAAGTTATATATACAAAAATTTAGAAAACACAGTATTAAGTCAGCACAATAAAAAAAAAACAAATAATATTAAAAAAAAAAAAAAATCCTTTGCCATATAAACAGTCAAAACAATTACAAATTTTAGAAGTCTTAACCATAGAGAAACAAACCACCAAACATTAATAAAATTTCAAAAAAAATTTTTTAAAAAATAATAAATATATTTTTTTTAATAAAGAATTATAAAAATTGTCTGAACCATATTATCATAAATTTTTTCTTTATTTCATTCTCTGTGTGTTATTGCAGTTTTTTCTTTGTGCATTATCAATTTTTAAAATTTTTTCTTTCTTTCTTTCTTTCTTTCTTTCTTTCTATTTTATTTCATCAATGCATTATCAACAACAATTTTTTCTTTCTTTCTGTATGCATTACCAACATTTTTCTCATTTACCTGAAAGTAGCAAAGTGATGCATTTTCAGTTTTTCTGTGTGTATCACCTAGCAGACTCCCTAATTGATTCCTGTCATCCAAAAGAGTTGATGGATTATTCAGAGATGTTACTCAGAGGCATGTACACAGATTTTCTCACGTTTTTCATCATTTCATTGGCAATTTGTTGCTCTAAATGATTATCATCTTGAATCAAAATTCAACAAGCCTTAAAAGATGCGGAGCACTCAAAACTTGCATTTGACCTAAAAAAATGTTTGCCAAAACTTGATGAATTATTTTATAGATATAGCTAGAAGATTTGCAAAGCCTAATCCAAAATTTGATAAAGAAATTTTTCTCAAATGTATCAGCCGTGGTAAAGATTGCAGAGCCATTCCAACAGAATATTAGAAAACCTCACATAATAAGTGAACATGAGTACATACCATGAAGCCAACTAGCTGACTGAATCAGTAGGCTGGGTACCAGTGGGCCAAATTAGACTGAACCTTTTCTCTGTAAATACCTGCATCCATGTTTTTTTTTAAACAGTGAACCTTTCATTCTTTTGTGAATAAATTCTGAAGGTTTCATTAAAATCAAGCAATTTTCAAATCAATGTGTTTTTCACTACAAAAAGATTTTTTATACATAGATGTAAGAAATGTATGTGTGTGTACAAGTATACATGTGAAAAAAAGCTCTGAAATATGTGTGTGTGTGCATATATGTATGCACAAGTATATAAGAGTGGACATGTATATATGTACATGTGTGTGAAAGTTTATATAAAAAAAAGTCTCTAATATATGTATATATGAGGATAGGTCTGTATATATACATATGTACAAGTATATACATACAAAACACTTTTAGTTTCTGTAGACTGATTTAAATTCCAACAGGCACCAAACAGATCTTATATATATATATGTGTGTGTGTGTGTGTGTGTGTGTATATATATATATATATATATATATATAGTTAATTAGCTAATGAAGTTATTTGGTAATCCATATTGATAATTCCAAGAGGATGTAATCCAGAGAGCTCAATGTAAAAGCAGAACAAATATTAATTATATTAAATTCAAAGACAATTTTAAGGTTCATAAATTATAATTTTTTTCCTTAGGACCGAATTTTTGCTTTAATTCTTAAGATCTCCTCCGTTTTCCTAAAAAAATTTGTATACAGTTTTTGAATGGAATCTGTAAATATCAGTAATAAGGAAATAAAAATTATAATCACATGAAAACCCTTAAAATTTTTATGATTAATTTATATATATATATATATATATATATATATATATATATATATATATATATTAATGGAAATATATGGACAGTATTTATTAATTGTTATAAATTTAAAAAACAAACGAAAAAAAAAAAATAAAAATATGAAATTTTTAATTTTAATATTTTTCAATTTATTTGTTTGATTCTGGTTTAATAAACCATCTTCAATGTTATTATAAATAATAACATTATCAATGAAACATGTTCTGAAGATGGTTAGAAATTAGAAATTTAAACAAGACGGGAAACATATTAAAATTAAACAATATAATTATATTTATATTTTTTTTTTTTTTTTCCATATTTTTTCAACTTTATATATATATATATATATATATATATATATATATATATATAGGGTGTGTGTGTGTGTGTGTGTGTGTGTGTGTATTGTGTTTTGTCAAAATACAAGTAAAAGATAGACAGACACTCACTGAGGTCTGGTCATTTTATACAATAAGGTAATGTGATTTGTGGTCCTCTTTTATCCTCAGAGATCAAAAACGTTTTATCACCTACTGTCATACCTGAATGTACCTATTCTATTATTAATAGACTCTCCCACACATAATAAGTAGTAGTAGTAGTAGCGGTCACCAGTTGGGCTCGGTGGTGTTGAGTGAGTCAGTCGATGTCGGACATTGAAGTATCAACCATCACAACTAGATTGCTGCATCATTAACTCTTATTTCAAGTTCCTAACGTTTTGTATGTTGAACCTAATTTAGGACGACTTATTGAAATACAAGCCTCCACTGTGAAAACTACTCTACAACACTTACATACAGTTTTGTCTCATTCTAACTTGAAGAAGCCAGAGGGAGCAGACATTCTAAGGAAAACACATCATTTATAGCTTTTCTGCTTTGTCTATTATCTATCTATCTATCTATCTATCTATCTATCTCTATATATATATATTTGAATAAAGACAGAAGGAAAACTTAGTTAACATGTTTCATCCTCTGAGTGACTTTATAAGGCAAAGATAAGGATTTTATTATAACAAGTATTTATATACAAAACCAAAAATGTTATTTGGTTTTTCAAAATTTTTAAATTTAAGAATGCTCATAAATATTCATCAAGTTAGATGATAAGTCAGACAAGTTATGGAAGATGCTAAGTGATACAATTCAATATTTAATAAATGAAAGTAAGTGATGTTTTTTAATTTGTTTTTTTTATGCAAATTAGTAATTCAATTATTTAAGTTTGGGATTAATTTAATTGTTATATATTTTAAATAACATGAGATTATGAATTTAATCATTTTCTTTTAACTTTTTAACATTTTTATAGTCATGTATGTTGGCTTTGGAAAGTAGTAATTCTTTCAGGAATGGAGATATTGGAAAAATGGTTTGATAAGATTTGATAGTGGCACTCTCAAGAATTTTCCTTCTAAGTAAGTTACTTTCTCTTTTAATAAGTATGGCATTCTTTAGATCAAATTTCTTTTCTTTTTTATAGTCATATTTAAGAACACTAACAATCTGCAGCCCCAAATAATTACCCAAGGAAGAAATATACATAGAAAACAATTTCAAAAAACACCAATATTGTTATTATTTCTTCCACAATGCTAAGAGAAAGTCATAAAAAATATACAGCGACAAAAAAGATAACCACATTATTAATAACAATAAACTAGATAAAAATATACACATAATACTGCCTACTAAATCCATAACATGCACTATCCTACACAACATCAAAATAATTTCAACCACATCTAAAAATATTATGGATATGATCAGAACAAAAAATACCCATAGCAATAATAATTCTGATGCAGGTATATATATATATAAAATAGTCAGAACAGCTCCTCACAATACATTAGGGAAATTTACAGAAATTTAAAAAATGTATCTTTGAACACAAAAGGGTCTTATATATAAGAATTTATCAAATGTATTAGTTATATATAGAAATAAATTCAACAACTTTATTTAAAACAGTGTAGATTAAGTCGACCAACCTGCATAACTTAATAAAGAAAATGTGCTCTCTAACAGTGTTAGAACCTGTGTCCCCCTTGGTAGGAGAAGCCGTTGTTTGATCCAACATGCTTTAGACCACTGTGGGATCACTCACATCATACCAGCAGAAATAGCCTCGTGTTCACAGGAATGAAAGCATATACAGAAATATCACTAAAAGCATGTTAAGTTGTAAATTAAATTCATACAATTCATTATATTTGTGTACTGGTGTGTGTATTTTAGTTACAAGAGTTTTAAGGGAGCATGTGATAAAAGGAAGAAGTCACTTTGTATTATAACAAGCAGTGTCCCAATGAGAGGAGCTGGATGTCTTGACTTTCGACTGGCGGGTAACAAAGAGAGTGAATTCAGCGTCTTTTGGTGTGAAGTCCGTTTTCCGACAGGAAAAGTTTCTGTTGCATTCTGGGAGAACTTTTTTTTATTTATTTAATTTAAACAAATTTTTGATGTTATTTGCTTTATTTTATTTTGATTATGATATTTATTAATATTATTATTATTTTTATTTATTAATAATAATAATGTCCAGACTCCGCCTGGCCACAGACAGCCCAGCAAGATTGTAATTGTCCTATTAAAGAATGCACAATTCCTCATTCAAATTTCAAGGGCATGCAGGTTCAATCCCTGCTGGAGAGTACATTTTTTTTATTAAGTGTTCTTAAGTGCACAGGACAATCCACGTAATGCATGCAGTTTAAAATAAAATAACAAATGGGTTTTATATTTCAAACACGGGTATTCACTAAAAATAATGTTTGATGTAATAAAAAGGTCTGATTAAAAATAATATATAATGTCTGTTTCTTGGTAACTTTCTTTTTCTTTGTATTAAGACATAACTCTTTTTATCTTTTATTTGTCCATACATTCTATCAATCAATCTGTTTATCAGCATCCTGTCATCTTTACAGTCATATATTTTAGGTATTAATCAGTCACAGTCTCTACACTTAAATCAAGTCAACCTCTAATTCCTGGTTTACTTCCAGCATGACTGTTTATAATTTGTAAGTTGTGCAAACTCATTTCAAACAATCTTTTTCCCTTCTACTTAGCATTACACTTCAAAAACTACACAGAACTAACAATAAGAAGAAATGTCAAAAAACAAGAAGAAACTTTAAGCAAAAGAACTGCACTTATTCAAAGGTCAGCATGATTACCTCAGGCACTCAATCTGTATTTCTTGCTTAGATTATTTTCTTTCTTTTTCTCATTCTTACTTTCTGCATTATCACAGTTTCATCTTTTTTTTGGTCCTCCATTTGTCAGTTTTTCTTTCTTTCTTTCTCTATGCATTATCACAATATTTTTTCTTTCTTTCTTTCTTTTTTCTCTATGCATTATCACAGTTTTTCTTTTTTTTCTTTCTCTATGCATTATCATAATTTTTCTTTTTCCTTCTTTATGTGTGTTATTAATTCATACTTTTTCTTTTTTCTCTCTGCACTATCATAATTTTTCTTTTTCAATGCAGTATCACAATTTTTCTTTTTTGTTTCTTTTTCAATGCAGTATCACAATTTTTCTTTTTTGTTTCTTTTTCAATGCAGTATCACAATTTTTCTTTTTTGTTTCTTTTTCAATGCAGTATCACAATTTTTCTTTTTTGTTTATTTTTCAATGCTTTTCACAATTTTTATTTTTGCTGCTCTTTCAATGCAATACCCCCTTTTTTATTTTTCCTTTTTTTTTTTTTTTCACTGTATTATTAGCAATTTCATTTTCTTTTTTCCTTCTTTCTTTCTCTCTTCATTATCATTTCTTTTTGTTAGTTTTTAGATGCATTATCACAATTTTTTTCTTCTTTATGCCTTTTCATTTTCTTCCTTTCTCTATGCATTAATAAAATTTTCTTCCTTTATTTCTTTCTTTCACTATTTACCAGAATTCTTTCTTTTTTTCACCATAAATTCTTTATCATAATTCTTTTACTTTCTTTCTTAATTTTCCATATTTTTGTACTTGTCTTTTTCTTTTTTCACCTTTATCTAATAGCATTCTTTTATCTAAATTTTATCTTCCCCTTTTAAAATTTCTAATGCATCCTTTATTTTTTTTCTTCTTTCTTTTTTTCTTTCAATATCGCCATCTATCATAGTCCTTACATTTTCTTTCCTTTTTCTCCTTTTCCTCTTTTGTTTTCTTTTTATTCCTCCTTTTTTTTCAAGAAGTTTCTTTTAGTTCTTTTCCAATTTCTTTTCTTGCTTATTTCTGTATACCTCTTTGCTTTTTCTTCATTTACTTTCTTCAAAATCTTTCAATTTTCATCTTTTCTTTTTATTTACTTTGTCTTCTATTATTTCTTACTTTTTTCACTTTTTTTTCTTTCTTGTTTCTTTTTTCTTTCTCTTTCTTCCTTTGTTTCTTTCATTTTATTTTTCTTTGTTCCTTTCTTTTTTCTTTTTTCTATATTGTTTTTCTTTATTTTTTCTTGCTTTATATTTTGTGTTTTTTCTTTCTTTCTTTTTTTTTTAGAAAGAGCTTTTTTGCTTCTGTTTTTCTTTCTGTATTTCTTTCTTTTTTAACATCTGCTTCATTCTTTTTTTTTTATCTTTTCATTCAGTTTTCCCTGTCTTTCCAATCTTTTTGGCTTTCTCTTTATTTTTCATCTTCCTTTTTTCTCTTTTTCCACCTATTCTTTACAATCTTTCTCTCTCTCTTTCTCTCTCTCTCTCTAGTTAGTTAAGTACTTAGAGAATAACCATTCTTTCTCAGTTTTCTTTTTTTACCTTTTGCAACATCTATCAAATTCCACCAGCTACACCACCCCCACCTATGCACCTGGCAAACTCCCACCTATCCATTTCTAACTGGATCTAAATCAAGAAAGTCCATCACTTTGAAAAATAATCTTAATAAAAGACCAGCTATCTGCCGATTTCAATCATGTGAACAAGCAAAGAATCCAAAAGGAAAGGACAGTATTGCTTGAAAAATCTCCCCACTTTTTACACAATTGAAAGTTTGCATACACAAAGGCATTTCCCCAATCCGACATGAGGCATGTACTTAATTCTTGATAAGGAAACTCACTACCCCATGAACCTAAGCTGGGGAGGGAGAAAGTAACTTTTGAGTAAAATGGAAGAGACATAAGCTAGATAACCTCCTTCCTACATATACAATGCCTATGTTAATTATCAAGCTAAATCCCTGTAGACGACCATCACTACCCACTAACTCCTAATTTACTTCTGTTCTGGAGAAACTTCATGATTAGCAAATCATAACTGTTTCTGTTCTACCAATGTGAAGAATTCTTTGAAGAATTTCCTATTTCTGCATTGTTTTTGGTGACTTTTTTTTTTTAACTTCTTTTTATATTTCACCAATATCCACACTTTCTTATTTTCTCCTTATGCTGATTGTATTTCTTTCTTTTGCAAGTTCTGCTTTACATTAATGGAAAATTATGGTGGTCTTATATCCAGCGTCTATGTCTTGAAAACCTACAGCAGTGAAATCTTGGTAAAACAAAGAATAATCACACGAAAAATTACAAGACCAGATGCTGCAGGAGTAAAGCATCAATAAAGAATGCAGGCATAGGGAGGAGAAGACTTCAGGTGATGATTCCCATTTCACAAATATGTCTTTAGGCTTACCAAAATCATTATTCAGTAAGTTAACTATGTGCTCAGAGGTTTCATTCTGCCAGTGTAACCATTAATTTTCTCTCTGCAGGTAATCATAATTACACTTCTTGTACCAGGTTGGAGATTTTACTAACGTTTTCTGAATGATTCCAAGAAAGAAAGAACGACAATAAAAAAGAACAAATTAGATTTAGTCTCTCATGCTTATGAAAGAATCCAATCAGTCCATATATCCTTGTAGAATCCAAGCTCCACCCAAATAATAACACAACTTCATCTTGTTATAACTTCATAATTTGGATTGCATCTTCTTTGGAACTAAACTTTGGAAAGTTTCAGAAAAGCAAATCTTCACCAGTTGATCAGGCATCGTTGACTGAGTGTTTCTTCAGACTTCAGCTCTTGGAAAATCAGAATTTACTTGCTGACAAAACTTTACAATAAAGATTTTTTTTTTTTTTTTTTTGACAAAAATGCACCTCTCCAAAACAATAACTTTTTAAAAAATAAACTGTAGGAATTACAAAATTATTTTATTCATACTTTTAAAAGTGGACATTTTAAAAGTGTATATATATATATATATATATATATATATATATATATATATATATATATATAAAAAAAGAAAGAACACAAGATATATAATCTGATGTTCTTATAGATATTTTTATTTTTACAAAATAGTGCTCAATGTAAATTTACAGAGCTTTAATATTATAAATTAATTGATTTAAAAAATGTTTTTTTTCGCTACACAGTTCTAACCATGTTTCAAAAATGGAAGCTAAAAGCCACGAATTTAATTTTGTGATTAAATTAAAGACATTAGTTCCATTTCATCCTCATCGAACAAATTTTAAATTTTAAAATTAATGAAATTAATGTAATTTAATTTAATCATAAAAATTAAACATGTTTTTATCCATTTTTGAAATTAGAACTGTGTAAAAAAAAACCATATTTTAAATCAATTAATTTATATAATATATATATATATATATATATATATATATATATATATATAAAAAGGTTTAAAAATTTTTTATTATATCCTTACTCTGTCCTAGACATTGAATTCTCCCTGGATCCTTCCTCTTGGAAAATTTTTTTTCTGAAAATATACATGTATGGGAATTTTTTATATATATTTTGCATATGTATATTCATATAAAATATAAATTTTATTGTAACCTAATTATTTACAATTATGGATCATATGCAATGTAGATGAACTAAAAAAATTTGAAAATAAATACAATGTATCTAAATACAAATTAGAGACATGTCATCATAGACCATTCCATCTTAAATGAATCAACAATGGTTTTAGCATTAACTTGTGATTTTTCTTATTAAAAAGTTGAAGAATTTTAGCACATTCAAAATTATGGATACAAAATAATCGATTTTATAGTTTTTCTTTTTCAAGACTTAGCAGTCTTTACAGAAAAGACCCCAGAATGATGTCAAAAGTTCAGATTCTAGTCAAGTTCCTTAGACTCACTTATGTGCTAATGCCATTGAGGAACTTATATATATATATATATACATACATACATATATATATATACAAGACACCATGAAAGGCAATTGTCAGAGAGGACACTAATGCAAAAACTGGTTGGACAATGGAAAAGTATGAAGATACCAGAATTGCTGATGGCCGCTGTTGACAGACCATTGTGGAGGAGATTTAATGTGGCTTCTGCATTCAGATCCTCTCTATGATTACAAAGGTCAAAAAGATGATGATATATTTGCCCCTTTGTTTTATATATATAAAACAAAGGGGCAAAAGAGACAGTGTATGAAAAAAGAATTACTCTTTAAAAAAGTGATGGATTAAAAAAATATAGTGACAAAAGAATAACAAAAACATCCTCTTTGTTGTTCTATTTTTTGACCCCCTTTTTGGGGAGAGTAATTCGTTTTTACATATCCTGGTCCTTCCACCTGTTTGTATGTATTTGACATAGGTATTCATAATTGGGATAAGAATGATCTTGAACAGAAAATCAACATCCTCTATCAAGTGTTCCAAGAAATAGGATTCAAAATAAACATTTCCAAAATAGAAACTCTGATGTGGAATTGGAACGAAAACAGTGATGGTACATTTCTTGAATCCATCATAAAAATTTAGGACGTGGAATAAGTAAATACCAAACACTTCAAATACCTTGGTAGATGGATCAGTTATAATAAATTTAGTACAGAAGATAAGGATATCAAACATAGGTTGTGCTAGATGTACTTTTGTCCAATGCTGCAAATTTCTACAGAACAAAAATATTAACCTGAAAACATGAGTCTTATTCATAAATAGCCTCAGATCAAGATGTATGGATGTCAGGCATGGCACTTATATTGTTCAGAAAGTATCTAAACTGTCAGCTGTATGCAGCTGTATACAACTGCTTTCTAAGATCAATGATTGAGCAAATAAAGACCACAAAATAAAGGGTTACAGAACATAGAAGTGTTTTTTTTTCTTCTCTACAATACTACAGACAAAGCAGGGCATGAATCTCTTGCACTCCTTGTACACATGCATGGCAAAGACTCTATACTAATGTGATTTTTCATTCAACAACAAAGTTCAACCACATCTAATTCTTTCTTTTTACAAAGAGTATTATAAGAACACGTATTCTCTTTCAGGAACCATCCTTGAACATTCTTTATATTCAAAGTTCCCAGTAGAATAAAAATTTCTATCACATTTTGTTCATTCTTTTGTTTCTCAATTACTTTCAAGGGTATATCGTCAGTGGTACTAACTTTGAAGTGAAGCAGTAAACTCAGTTTTTCTCAGGTGGATTGGGATGTGAAACTGTACTGGTCTATGACCATGGGCACTGCATCGGATACACCTTGATCAATGACCTCAACCTGCTAGCTAAAATTATTCTTTTAAATGACAGAATTTATTTTCTATATATTAAAAAAACATGTTCAAAATAGTCCACATTTATCTCCAGCCATCACTCAAATTTCAATGTATCTATTTTAATCTCTGGTATCATGTGGATTGTAGAATGCAACAAGTATTTAGTTCTCATTAATCAAATTATTTTATATTTATAACATAAATATAGATATTTTAATGTCATAATATAGTACATAAATAAATACATAAATATAGACACTATTTACATTATTGGACTAGTAACTTTTATCTTTGTTGTTATTTATTACAATTTTTAGACTGTATTTACCATCTTTATTTTTTCAGATGTATGTGGAATGTTCGAACTGAAAACTTTACAGGCTAATTTTGACTGAACTGTTTTAGTTCAAAGTTTAATGGATTTCAGTTATCAGTTATCTCCTGTTAATTCCCCTCTGAAAGTTCTCCAGTGACAGGACCCAAAGAGTGTGAGTTCAATACCTAGTTAAGGCAGTGGAGAACTTGGAGAGGGGAATTAACAGGAGATAACCGATAACTGACATCCATTAAACATGGCATGTGGAACTAGAACAGTCTACCCCAGTGAGTGAAAATAAAGGTTCAGTTCGACATTCCAGCCACCTGAAGAAGGCCAGAGTGTACAATGGCGGAAACATTATAATAAATATGACAACAAAGATGAGAACAATAGTCTGAATAATGTAAATAGTGTACATAATACCTCGTCTCAGAAATATAGACTGAAACATAAATATAGATATTTCAATGTCATAATATAGTGGAGCGTTTCTCAACCTCTGTGCCTGGGTGCAGTAATGCACCCTGAAAGGAAGCCAGATGCACCCCAAGTTTATAGAAGAGTAATTTAAGAGTTATTTTTATATTTAAAAAAAATCTTTCTTTTTAAATGCTAGTGACACCAAGCAATGTAATGGTAATTTTCTAAGCATAGCTTAGATGCGGAACAAGGTCGAAAGTATGGGGCACCCAGTGAAGATCAAACTCTCTATTCAGTCATAATTGTTCAAACAAGACAAGCTTGCTAACTATTACATCACACCAAAGTGTCAAAATATCAAGCAATGTAATGTCTTAAAAAATAATTCTGACCTGAAGACGCTTCAAGAAGAAGCACAGCAGCATATGATCTTTGTAATTCAGCTTTTCTTAACTGGTGTGCCTGGATACAGTAATGCACCCTGAATGGTAGACAGATGCACCCCAAGTTCACACAAGAGTAATTTATGAATTATTTTTATATTTAAAAATATAGAGAGACCAAACAATATAACGTCTTTAAAAATAAATGCTTATTTCAAGAAACTTCTTTAAAATTTTCCTATTTTCAAATTTCTGGACTTATTTTTCCTTACTCAAATTTAAAATGCACCCCAGAATTTTAGTTATTCATTCAGTGCACCCTAAAGTGAAAAAGGCTGAGAAACACTGATATAGTGTACTACTAAATTAAAAGCAGTAACTGTAAGCCTAGTTGTTCATGATACTACTGTTTGTGCTTACAGAATGAAATGGCCTTAATCTGGCACTGCTGAATATAAATATATATAATTTATTATAATTGTTGGGTCAGTAAAATTCATCTGCGCTATTATATAGAGATTGCTCACTGATGTTATGCAGTCTCTCATTGATTAATAAAACCACATGGATTCAGAAAAAGCTGACCACCACCACAGAAAAGACTGGACATACGCCAAAGCAACATGCAAGAAATTCTCTCTGATGGTAACAGTATCAGTTGATAAGGGCTTTAAAGGTACAAGCTATCTAGCCCTATTTCACTCCACTAGATGGATAAGTCCACCTGACATATTCTCTCTATATAGGAAAGGACATTGTGTTTATGTTAACTGTTCTATTTATGTTTAGGTGTAAATAAATGTCTTTATTACATATTGATAAAGTTTTCTTCTTATTCATGTCAGTCCCAAAGTAATTCTGAGTTTTCCAATATTCCAAAATGGCTACCTTCTGATCTTTGTTTTAGATAATAGTTGGGAATTAGGAATTTGTCATAATGCTCATGCATAAAGTGAAATATTAGAAAATAACATCTTTTTTTAAGATGTTTGATGAAGAAATAAAAAATATCTTTGATAATAAAAATAGATAAATAAATGTCAGAGATAAAATGGAAACAAATAACAGATTAAGAGAAAAGAAAATATGTATAAATTTAAAATAAAAAAAAGAGATTTTAAAGAAACAAAGAGAGGAGGAAAAAGAAAGGAAAAGAAATTATGAATTGAAAATAAATGAAAAAAGAAAATTTCAAAGATAAATAGAAAAAAAGAGATGGTATGAATGAGTAAGAATGGTGAATAAAAGACTAAAAATAAAATATAAATAATAAATAGAAAATAAAAGAAAAAAAGAGAAGTTAAGCATGAGGAATAATAGTAAATAAAAGACTAAAAATAAAATATAAATAATAAATAGAAAATAAAAGAAAAAGGACTTCAAAGAAAGAAACAAATAGGCAAAGAAATAAAGAAAAATATTAGAGTGAAATGTTAAAAGGAAGAAAAAAGAAGATATAAAGTGAAAATAAATGAAAGAAAGAAAAACTTCAAAGAAAAATGAATAAAAGAGAGATGGTAAAAAAGGAAGAGATGAAAGATTTAATAGGTTTTGAAAATAAAAATGAGAAAATAACTGAAAAAGAAAGAGAAAAATATAAATAACAAATTGAAAATAAATTCTAAAGGAAGACTTCAAAGAAACAAACTATAAAAAGAGGAAAAACTAAAGAAACAATTGTGCAAAAATAAATAAATCAAACAAAAGAAAAGATGATGATGAAATAAGAATCTTAAATAAAAAAAGGCAAAGATCTGAAAAAAAAAAAAAAAAATACATAAATATAAAAATTCCAATAGATCAGAAAATCTTCTATTGGAATTAAATCCTATATATATTTTTTCAACCAATAAAATCTCTTAGAAGGTTTGTTGTATAAACAATAATTAGGCAAATACCACCAAAATACTTGGTGGATGTAGTTGTAATCTTATCATGTGTTATTTTTTAACCATTTAGAAAATAACAATAATAATTCCCTTCACCACTCCTGCAAATTCAAGAAAAAGATTTTTGCGAGCCAGTGTGAAATTTATTTTCTAACTCATGAAAAACTTGGATTAGAAAAAGTTCACACCACTATGTAAAATTAGATTTGGAATCCCCTTGTGGATATAAAAATAGAAGGTCTACTGCTTCTCAAGGTTCAAAACAATTATGGAAGCCAATTTGATCTACCCCTGCATACCCACACATACACTCACACACAATGAAAGAAACAGCCAGCAGTTGCTTACTAAGGCCTTGTCCACACACATAGTAGAAGGGATTAACCACAAATTGCTAACTAAACCTTTTGTCTATGAACTGCCAAACACATTAAGATGATTATCATTATGTCCATCCTCACATTTCACAATGCTCTATGAACACTAAATTACTTTATAAAACAAAATTCACTGCTAGTAAAATTGAACATTTTATTTCCATTGTATATTTCCGAAAATTTTATGTAAATGTAATTTCAACTGACAGTCTGTTTCAACTTTTCCTTCAGAAAATTACCATTTATATGTTTCTTTTAAAAGATGTGTTGCTGCTGTTAAATGTTTGGAATCCCAACACTCAGATAACAACAAAAACTTGAGTAGACAAATCCCAATACATCCTTCCTACAAATCAATATTTGCTTAAAAAAAAAGAATATTTAATTTCTTTAAATATTTCAATGTTTATTCATGCCATCCTCCTCACATTATATGAAGAATTTATAGCAATATATAGGAAACTTAAAGGCTGTAGATTCCAGACTCATTTGGAACATACAATAATTAAACAATGGAAATGAAAGAATCTGCTTCTATCTTGTTTCAAGAGCAGACAACCAAACAACCATTTTAGCCAAGGGCCTTAACTCTTTTTTTAGTTATATCATTCAAAACTCAAAAATTAGAGTTATTATTTATTTTGTTTGTGGCTCAAGTCTTAAGTGGAGACTTAACAGAAGAAGACTCATCTGTTTATACCCACGAGACTGTCATTATTTAACATTTTTAAGGAGAGGGATTTCAAAGAACAGTCTTGAATTTGAGTGTAAAAATAAAGAACATCATTATAAGAAGAATTATCAGTGTAACAGATTATGAGCATATTGCTAGCTTCCTCTCCAAAGACAAGAAATTCTAGCCTAAATTTTTCTGTAGATAATTGTTACTTGTGCAAGGTCTACCATTGCTAATGTTTACACAACCAAATTGCTATTGACTACTCTCCTAATATGTTTTGACTTTCAATATGCAGTCATTATCACTGAATAAAATTAATATATATTAATTTTCAGTTCTCTCTGTAGTTTCTTTTTCCTTGCCTTCTCTAATTCACAAGCTGTATCTTCTAATATAATTTTGCAGAAAGATGGAATGCCATCTAACAATTCTATGGATGTTTTTTATTTCTTTCACCGGCATCTCCAGCAAGGCAACATTGTTTCTTTTTACTTGGATATCTAAACTCTCTCGACAGTTTTGTAGCAATATTTCTTTTCCCTTGTATACTTTTATTGTCAATTTCTTTAACAAAAAGTGGGTGATTTAGTTTGCCACTCATTGGTTAAAACGACAGATTTAGAAATACACAGTGTAGTCCAAAAGTTTATACAACAGAATTTCAGGTTTTTTTTCAAACATGAATACAAAATCATTTTCAAAGTTTAACCTTGTTTTTGTTTCTTCATAGTAACAGAGGATATCCACTTCAACCAGATTAGTAACAAGGTCCAATCTAATTCCTGCAAGAATACACAGCACTGTAACATGATTTAACAATAGTAAAACTTCTAAATTTCCAAATCTATAATGTCTTTCACCATTGATGTTTGCCCTATTATTATCTGGTAATATTTCCAGAAAACATTCATACTATTAATTTCCACAAATAGTTCCTGATGCCCTGCTTTCTATAACTACAGACCCCAGAGTTCCACCTTTAAAAGAAACATTATCTGCACCACCTGAATTTTGATTGAGTAGCAAAATATTTTTACATGTTCTGCTTATCTATCATGGGAATTTTCTCTGCATATGAACTGTGTCTGACCTAATATAAAATGCAACCACAAATATTGTACCTAGAAAACCCACTATCAGATCCTGGAAGTTTAAATCTACTTCCACTAGATTCTATTTGTCCTTATGCTCCTTGAGTTTCTATTGAAACATTGAAAAGGCCATACATTTGACCAAAAACAAAATACATCTCTCCTTTTTGACTGAGAGGTCTATATCTGCTTTTCTGACATGTCAATTTGTAATGCATTAAATATGGCCATGAAAACTTGTAATTTAAGCAGGTATTTACTCTCTTACATTTCCTAGTAATAATTTCCTTTTAATAATGTTCAGCTACTAATCTAACAGGCTATAAATCCCAAACAAATTTGGTACATATCACTAAATTATGGTAATGGAAGAAGCTGCTGAGATCTGTAGCATTGTGCTAAGGGCAGATAACCATAACTCTTCATAACAGTATATTCAATGGATAAACAAAATTATAAATTGTAAATAGAATAAGTACTTATACAGATGAACATGGTTAAAAATTGATAAAAAAACAAATTTCATTTTTCCCTGTGATGTGTGTAGCCATGGTTAAATGTAAGATAAATGACAGAACTGTTGAACAAACAGATATTATAAAACTTGCAATAAACAATTAAAAGAAAAGAACTGAGCAAAACATAATATAAAGCAAGCAAGCAATATATGCAAGGCGAATCAACAATAATAAGGCAAAGCAACAGTAATATGGCAAAAAGTTCATGAACTAAGAATTAGGGTTGACACACAAAAGCCAAAAAAAAGTTCAGACAAGCAAAAGTAGCATTCTGACTTCAAAACAAGACAGACTGGGATTAAGTCAGATGAAACCAAGAACTGGCCCATTTTATTGGCTAAGAAAAAAAATCCCAGCATGCATTTCTGTGCTTCTCCCTATAAATTGGGGTGGGAAAAATGTTTTGCAGTCATTCTTAGTATGATTGTAGGAAAATAAAAAGAAGAAAAAGGATATTTTGTATATTATGAAATTTTTATGTCATGAGTGTTTTTGTAGGTTCCATGTGAATATGTGGGATTGTAGTGTTTATCAGATTGAATGGTGATGGATGAGTTTTATTGGTGAATGAGTAAATTGTAATGGATGAATAGATCATGAATCTGATCAGTTGGATCTAGGATAGTGTAGACAAGCTTCACCCCTTTGGCTTATTTAATATCTACTGATGTTTTTTGACTGGTGAAGCATATGCAAGCTTTAAAGACATTTTTTATGCTTAGCATAACACTCATATACACACATAGGTAAATAAATAACAAAAATATACATTCATGTGAATAAAATATATAAAAAGTGGCAAAACTAAGATGCTATTATTCCTTAGATATGTTACCATGTGATACATCAGTTTTCACAATGTTTACAGCGATATCACATGGAAACACCAGTACAGAGTATAGGTGACTGCTTGTGAATACCAGCTGTAAGCTTGAATGTGTGGCTGGTGTAAGAGATAATGGTTCAAAATTGGAAATCAGAGCCAATTAGAATTCCACTCGGGTTTTTTATATTCACTTAAGTACAAATACACTTGGGAAATTATGAATCCATCTCTTCACACCCTAGCTATGGGTTAATTAGTAGGACTTGTATCAATAAATCATTTTTATCTCCAAAACATTCTTTTGATCTAAAAAATATTTTCTGTCATTGCAAAACCTGCAGTATATAAGAAGTATCAAATTCAAAATCACTCTCTTGATTTTTTTGGAATAACAGGTGCTCTAAGTTTTCCTTGCAGACCCAGACAATGGCAGCAATGATATAATCAAGTGCTAAGGTAGGATGTAATTTTGGCAACATGCAACCTACTTTGTCAATGAATATGGTCTGTACACATAAAAATATTTTGAAGTCAGTTGTCAGTTCACATTTCAAGTGTCATATTCTTAAATCACATCATCAGATCAAGACTTTCATATGAAAGTCATGCTAGGCATCAAAATCATTCATGAATATCTAAACTGTTAGTTGTATTATACAAACTACTTTCTCAGGTCGATGGTTAAATATGGTTTCGAACAAATGAAGTGTATACAGTTTAAGTGAGGACTAATATTCTTTGTTGATTGGTGCTACAAAATCCCAAACAAAGATCTGTACCAAATAACAGAAACCATAACAGTTGAGAACTTTCAACAGCAGCAACAATTAAAATGGATAGCACATGGAACTCAATGATGTTGAAATTCTACAAAACTATAAACAAAAGATGAGAGAGGAACACCTCAACAATATTGGAAAGATTGATAATAGTTACTTGACTTGAGAAACATATTTTTCTGAAAACTTGTTTAAATAAATAGATTTTATAAATTTCAACTGAAAGCAGCAGTGGTTGTTCAGTCAATGAATTCTGAAAGTTTCTTTATAAGGAAACATCTAATATAACTATTACCATTTTCAAATTAATTGAATATGGTGACAATGTATTCCATAACTGAAATACATCATAATATTATTTCTGTTTAAATTTCTGGCATGAGGAGTTATCATTATTTAAATTATTTATATTTAGACTATTGTCCTTATCTTTGTTGTTATTATCACCCAATTGCCTCCTATCAGAATTTCTCAGATGATTTTGTTTGGTTTGTTTAATTTTCTTGTGAGCTTTGATAATTTCCTTTTTTCACCAATAATATATTGCTAGTATTCTCATGATAAAAATGAATTTTTATACTTTCATAATGTTTTGAACACAGTCGGTGGGTGTAGGATTTTGTTGGACAACAGACATTACTCGACTGTATTGGAAGTTGAGATTGCTCTGACAACATGTCTTTGGGTCAGTTGGTGAGTGGTTTATATAACAGGCTGAGATGTTCCATTCTGCTACATGGGCAAGGCTATTCTCTAGGTTCTGATTGGCTGCTGACTTTGGTGTGGATACTGTGATCCATAAATATCCATCATTATGCCGTGAATACTGAGATTTGTATTTGGATACAGTCCACTTTCTTTATGTCTGCCAACTGGATGCTCATTGGGAACTTCAGTGAATTCACTATTTGCCAATAGATGGGACCCTAACAGGTCAGGGTGAACCTGAGAACAACAGCAATTAAAAGGTGGTGCCATGCTCCTCAAAACCTCTCAATCAGAGACCATGCTGCTGGTGAGGAGTTATCATTATTTACATTATTTATATTCAGATTATTGTCCTTTGTTGTTGTCATCACAACATTTCTGCTGTTGTGTCTCCAAGACTTCCCCAGGTGTAACTCAATCTACAGGGAATTCTGAACTGAACCCTTAATTTAATCTACAAGGGTAGACTCTTCTTGTTTCATTGCCCATATCTAGGGATATCTCATCCAATTCTTATGTATTTATTTTTTTTTTCATTACTGTTCAGTTATTGTTTGCTCATTTTCACCGAGTCCAAGAACAAATTACCTAACCCAGGGATTGAACTTACAATCACTATGTCACCAAATTCATGAACCAATGCTTTAATCCACTCAGCTATTGTCCTTCAAATTTCACTATAGTTTGATATACACCTGAGGAAGGACAGAGAGCACAAAGGCCAAAATATTGCAATAACAACAACAAAGATGAGGACAATAGCATGAACATATATAGTGTAAATAATCATAATATTGATTTGTAATGGGGTGGGTGTTGTGGTTGTTAATGTAAGTTACCTTGTTGTTATATGTATTTTTAGTTGATAGAGAATTCCTCTTCTCTTTTTTCATTGAAAATGAAATGAATAAAATATACAATGATAACACCAATAAGACTTTGAGGCACATGTTGACATTAATGACAAGAATGTGTATTGTGTGTGTTAAAAAGTAGCCTTTGAGACCATCAATTGTTGATTTTCATGGAGCAATGGTGATACATCTGTGTTGTTCCTTTTAACTACTGCTACTCTACTTTTCTGTCTTTGTTTCCGGTGGAAGGGTCGTTTTTATAATGATGAAGTTTCATATTTTAGAATGATGAAATAACATCATCATATATCATCACTGGTGGCAAGGTTGTTTTGGATGATGAAATTTTTATCTTCATTTCCAGGATTG